AGGAAACCTGTATAGAGTCTGTGTGATTCAAGGTGTTACATTAAAAGAGAGGAAGGGAGGAAGGAAGGGAGGGAGGGAGGGAGGGAAAAGTGGAGGAGGGAGGGAAGAGTGAAAAGAAAGAACAAGAAAGGAAGGAGTACTGCAAATAAAGGGCTTATTACGGAAGTTCTTTCTCAAGCCCCTTTGAGTTCCCGCCATTTGACTTATGGTAAAAATTAAATTAAGAATCTGCAGAATTATTTTTGTTGCCCTACGCGAAGCATCTCCTCCGTTTTTGTCTACTCGGCGCCCGCGCTTTGGTCCGGAGCCGTCTGCTCAAGGATCGTGGGTCCAGGCTCCAACACAGCAGCGCAAGGCACCGGGGTTTTAAAGGCAGTCACCCTGCACAGATTCATTCCTATCAGGTTTAATAACTTCCACCCTAAACTGCCCCAACCCTCCTCATTCTCTCTCGTCATTTATTTTCTGCCCCAAAGGCAAGGATCTTCCTCTGCGCTTTCCTTGCGGCTGTAGGGAGCCTTCCGCACTCTGAAAGGGAGAAGAAAAACAGAAGGGGTGGGAAAAAGAGGACAAGTGAGTCTCCACTTCGGAAGCTCTTCACAGCCCTGGGTCTCAAAGAGTGCTTATTTGTAAGGTTTGGTTAACTTCGTTCTTGCTTTGTATGTATGCTTTCCTAAAATAAACTGTACAAATCACTTTTTAAAGAAAAATATTCTAAAGAAAAACCTCTTGTGTGTCCTAAAATGTTTTGCCATTATTTCTTCGAAGCCTGTTCAGTTAAACCTTCTGAAATATTCAGGTGACCGTTTCTTGAGTCTTCATGATTAAAACCAAGGAAAGTTACAGAAAACAGATGCAAACAAAAAAATGTCCCAGCCTCTGTTAAGAAGGCTCAAAATGAAAATTCTGTGAATGTGCTCCTGTGTTGCCTACAAGATCTGAAAAAAACTTCATAAAATGGAGACTCCAGCCAAGAGAAATGGCGCATGGAATCCGTTTAAAATATGCACAGACAGAACCTAAAGCAACAAGCAGTGTAGATGGAGGTGATCTACATTTAAGTTTCCAAATGTATTGAGCGAAGTGACCAAAATATTGGAAACAGTCACTATGGTGGCTGTTTTGTTCTACGCCGACAGAGGTAAAAGTTTTTAAAAATAAAATGCTACAAAGCCATGAACAGAGAAAGACCTTAAAATCATTGATTCCTGTTTTGAAAATTACTTTCCCCTCAATAGATATGAATTAAAGATCTGTGTTTTAAAATATTGATGATGGTCTCCCCTTTAAAAATCTACATTAAAAATCAGGGGAACGATGGTCTCTGGCTTCTCGTTAGGAATTGTTAGAGACTTAGTTAGTGGCTACAATGATTCATCATTTTCCACACTGAGGTTTTAAATGTATGTATTCATGTTAATCACCCTGAACAGCTATCTCTTTTAAATGCGTGTTTACAGTCTGTAGGCTCTGTGTGACCCAGAGGTGCTTATATGACTAACTGCGAGTATCTCCATGAAAATACGTGTTTCTGACTTTTATAATATATATGTCTGTGGGTTGCATCTAACTGTTGTGTGTGTAATAATGTCTTTCTCTCTGCTGAGGTCTACTTCTCCAGCCTATTGTTTGAGACAACAGATATAAGTTGAGATGGGAGAGGAGCGTCGGATTTGGTGTGTATTCCCCATTTCCAATTATAGATGGATCATTACAGACAGCGGAGTCCTGAGAAGCCAGACATCTGCTCCTCACATGAATGCACTCACCTCCTAGAGACCAGGCTGCCATCATGCTCTGGAAGCTCGTGGAGAATGTCAAGTACGAAGATATCTATGAGGTGAGCCCACACCCCCAGATGCATTTTAGAGCTTTGCAGATAGAGAATTTGAGCTTCTTGACACCCCAACTGATAGATATTTTTAAGCTATTTACTCATAGATTTCTGGTTGGCTTTCTAGGCTTCTGTAACTTTTAGGCAAGCTGGCCGCGGGAGACTTCACTACTCTGGAAAAGGACTTTAAGCGGGAAATCTGGCAATTTTAAATTGGAGAGGATTTTTCCCCCTTTTATTTTGCTGTCTTTCTTCCTCTCCTCCTCCCTGTTGGGGCGACGAAGGGACGCGGTGCCACTGCTTGTAGACTGGCAGGGAAAAACAGTTTCTGCTGAGCTCAGCGGCTCTCTCCTTTCCGAGTACAGAACTGGGTTTTCAAGCCTCGTTCGCAGCGGACTGGGACTTTTTAATTTTTATTTTCAGTAACATTTGTGAGACTGTAACAACCGCATCCCGGCGGAGAGCGGGAAACCAGAGGGAGAGAGGTAAACGGACGGAAGCGTGGGTGAACGGAGCACTTGGAAGGGGCAGTGTGGCGAACCGTTGTTTGGTTTTGTTTTCCGGTGTTTTGCTGCCCCGCGGGTCAGCGGGTCCCGACCGCGATCGCCGCGTCCCTGGCCGAGTCTACCGCCGTCGCCGCCTCCT